AGTCAAAATTATCTATCAGTTAATCAATGCTAATAGCTTTGTTCCACACGCTTTCCCCGCTGCTCTGGTAATTAGAGCGTAAAAATAAGCTACTCTCTCACAAGTGTCAAAAATGTGTCAACACGTGCCCAGAGCATGAGGAACGCCAAAATCCATATTTCGTGAACGGAATCAAAAAATCAGCTTTAAACAATGACTTTACGTGTATTTATCTTATATGGCTAATAAAATTACCAAATAACTACATTTTCAAAATTCTGTGGTATTTTCCACTTTTGTGTTTTGTAAAATTTGCTTTCGGATTTAAGAAACAACAGCTGTTATTTCAAATTGCCCTTTTGCACGTTTGTGCCCGAAAAAAAGTCCGGGCTGTTTCGTGCACAAAGAAGAAGACATTTACGATCCAAAAGTGGAACTTATTCACTCTCCATTACCCATTTTTCTAGTGCGAGGAACAACAACAACTTTGAACAGTTCCTTTTTTTTACTCTAAATTTTATACGATTTTAAAATGTTGGCAAACTTCAAACAAGTAAGAAAGTCTAAGTTCGGGCGGAGCCGAACATTAAATACCCAGCGCACGTATTAAATTTAGTATGTTTTTCACCTTACTGAAAGCTACCGCTATATGGTAAGCCGGGGCGTATCAATTTTGAGTAAATTAGAGTCCTTAGATTTCGAAATTTTAAAGTTTAAAGCAGTTATGAAATTTACCGTTATATGAAAAGCGGCCTCAATTTAAGTCCGATTTCAATCACTTTCAATGTTTTGCTTTTATGTGGCAAGCACAATAACCATACCGAGTTTGGTACAAATTGGTAGAACGGTTACCGAGATACATATATGTGATCATAAGTAGGCGGTGCCACGCCCATTTTCCAAAATTTTATCACAAACGTATTTCTTGGTTAAGAATTGTTGCAAGCGTCAATTCTGAATAAATTAGCTTTAATATTTACTGATTTATCGAAGATTTTGTATTTCTCTAAATTACCCTTATATGGCATGTGGGCGTGGTTATTGTCCGATTTTAAAAATTTTCGGCTCTTTGGTATGTTGTGCGAAGGCCAAGAATTGTGCCAAGTTTGGAAGAAATTGGTGTAGCGGTTACCAAGATATACACATTTAACCATAAGTGGGCGTGGCTACCCCCATTTTCCAAAAATTTATAATATTCTTATTTTTCGTCTAAAAATTATTGTAAATATCAATTTTGAGTTAATAATCTCCAGTAGTTACTAAAATATCGCAGTTTTCGTATTTCTGAAAATTACCGTTATATGGGAAGTGGGCGTGGTTACAGTCCGATTTCGCCCATTTTCAATACCAACCTACATTGGATAAATGGAAACCTACATACCAAATTTCGTTGAGATATCTCAATTTTTGCTCGAGTTATCGTGTACACGGACGGACGGACAGACGGACATGGCTTAATCAATTTCTCTTTTCATTCTGATCATTTATGTATACATTTGTCTATCTCTATCTCGATTCGTTTTGGCTGTTACAAACAACCGTTATGTGAACAAAATTAATATACCCTTGTGCAGAAGAGCGCTCGGGTATAATAATATAAACAAAAATTTGACGATTTTTTGGCAGAAATTACGATTTTTTTAGGGTAAAATGACGATTTTGCAGCGAAAGATTTCGGCAACGCTGATGCTGAGTGTGATTTTTGTACGACAGGGGAGGACTTTACTCAATTGCCCACTCAGTCCGAAGTAACACTTGTTGGCCAGAGTGGTTCTCCGTTGGACGCAACTAATTAAACTGTAATAAATGTGAAAACGCTTTTTTGACGAACACATGGACATCATTTAAATCAACATCGCCAAATAAATTCTTGAACTTGATATTTATGTGTCCTCTTATTACCTACGGAGTTATGCTATTTTATTGTTACTTATTTATATTTAATTCTTGTTTACAGATGTACAAAATTTACCAAACATATTTCAAACCGGTTTCTGGCGGATTTTTTCATTTCATACCAATCTTGACTTCTCAGTAAAAGTTTTGAGTTTTTCGAAGTTTTTAAGACTTTTTCCAGTTTAAGGGAAAACCGGAAATAGTTTTAAAATTATATCCTAGGTTGTTTGGAGATGAACAGGACATCACATTTGATTCCAATAAGTAAAGCGTTTTCTAGGGGCTTGGCGGAGCTTCTCCACCAATCTGTGTTCTGATTCTTGATGTTGTGACACCAGTGGAGAGATCTACACTTTTACTCCACCTCCGAAGAAGTTTTTTTTTCATGGCAGAAGTACACTCGGCGGTTTCCCATTCCCGATCTCTATTTGAAAAAAATGTTTTTGTATTGTTGCTGGCGCCAGAAAATGAACCATGGACCTCCCGATTAGCCGGAGGCGCATCTAGGCACTCGGCTAAGACTGTTCACTGATTTTTATTCTCCTTTCTTTTTATGTAAAACAAACGTTGAACTTATTTTGCTCTGCTCTTTTCTAAATACATTAATAACTTTATTGTAATTGTTCGTCAGGACTTCATATCAATATAAGCATTATTAGTGAATAAAAACTATGTAAAATAAACTGGTTTTATGCGGCTTTTTCTTAATTTCAACTTAAAATTTTTCGAATAACTCGAAAACCGGTTTTGGAAAAAAGGCGAATAATTGAACACCCTACTATTCATACAAACAGGACCTGGTTGACCGAACTTTGCCCGGAGTGCATGCCTATATCGCACACAAAATTTTTCAAAATAAATTTTTTACCCATAAAGCAGCTCACAGGCCATATTTCTAGCGCACGCCAAACTGGTTTCTTCGTAACTATGGGCCATTTTCACAGTTTCATTAGTTAACTACTATGCTATTGTTAAACCACCATTTTTCATTTCTCAGTATCAGTTTGACTAATGGCTGACTGCAGTTAACTAATGTACATCCATTAGTTAACCAATAGTTAAAATTCTAGTAGTTAACTAGTTTAGTTGGAAAAATACCTTAAGACTCTTCTTGTTTTGCTTGTGTCGCTTGCGCAGCAGCAACAGGTTTTTTGCCTCACCTGAACATTTGGGATTTTTTTTTATTTGTATTTAATTGTTAATGAAATTTATCATTTAACATTAAATATACATCCGTTGACATTTGAGCCTAATTAATACCTGAGTATTCAGTGAACTAAAATGCAAATAAAAAATTTTGATAAAAGTATGTTGATAAACAAAAACTATTGTCAATATTTTAGCCCGAAAATTCTAAAAAAAAAAAATTGGAAATAAAAATATCTAATGAATTAAGTAAATATCTTATATACAAAATTAAGTAGCAACCGTATCTAGAAATGCGTTAGGATATGCACTGTCTTTACAAAGTGTTAAAATCTGCAATCTCCGATATTTGAATTGACAATAAAAACTCGAGTTACGAATAATTTTTTCGAAAAATTTTTATGGAAAGTTTTACTTCCTCCTATCCTTAATTGTAAAATTAGTAAGGTAAAAACAAAATCCGCGTGTTTAGAAAAACGATTTTCTTCCAATTATTTTTTGAATTCATTAACCTAGA